ATTTGGTAATTTAATAATAATTAAATTTGCATATAAGGGTTATCAAATTTTCAAAAAATACATACTTTTAATTTAAACATTTATATTAATCTTGTAGACTATTCCGAAGCATTCGTTTGAACTCTAATTCAAGTATAAAGCATAGATTGCATTTAACAAACAATACTTTGAGCAAAGTAACTAATCTCCTTTGATTTCGGTTGGTAACTAAGCGGCATAGGTTAAAGAAAACTTACTGGAGCTCCTGAGTCTCCTCGAACTCCTTTAGGTCCTGGGGGACCCACCTGTCCATTGGCTCCATCCGATCCTTCTAGCCCTTCAAGACCTTTCTCGCCTTGATCCCCCTTTGGGCCAATTGTACCAATTTTGCCATCTGGTCCAGGCCTTCCTTCACGACCCTGAGCACCCTGGGGCCCCTCCGGCCCCAACGGTCCTTCTGCTCCAGCATCTCCTAATTCTCCGGAGCGACCTCGCTCACCTTGTCTGCCAAGCTTGCCAGGTACCCCCTTTAGGCCAGCTGCCCCTATTGCCCCCTTGGGACCCGATTCTCCAGGAAGTCCACGGGGCCCTACCATGCCTTCTTCTCCTTTGACCCCCTTCAGGCCGACTGGACCTGCTGGACCTGGCTCTCCTGGGCTTCCTGGATCACCACGAGGACCTTGGTATCCGATGTCACCTCGAATGCCTTTGTCGCCTATGGGGCCCGGGTCACCAAGGATACCCTTCTTTCCAGCTTCGCCTTGTGGGCCTGGCTGACCCTCTAGGCCGTCGTCTCCGCGTTCTCCAGAGGGTCCAGGAGGTCCAGCATCTCCGCGCTCGCCCAATTCACCCGAAGCACCCTTAGGACCTCTCGGCCCAGGTGGGCCAGGATCGCCGATTGGCCCTGGAATGCCCATGGATCCGGCATCGCCACTGTTTCCTTTTTCCCCCTGCAGACCTTTTGGGCCAACAGGACCTAAGAAACCAGAGGAACCTTTGAGGCCCGAAAAGCCCTGGAAGCCCATTGAACCCATTGGTCCAGGACTTCCTCTCTCTCCCTGAAAAGTGAAAAAGCATTTTGTTTAAGAACTATTTAATGGTACGGTAATGTAGATAATAACTTGTTTGAGTAGCAAAAGCTGTCCTTATCTCTCGAGAATATATTTTATAAAAACAATTTGTTGATGAAGATAGAATTTACTGTAATTCTATTCGGCCAAACACACTTAAATAATTTTCTATTCATACAAGAAATGTCTATTTACTATAGAGATTTGACTATGAATGAGAAAATTTCATTATTTAAATCAGGATTCAAAGTATACGAGGTTGCATGTTTGACAACAAAAGCTTTAATGACCAACTTAATAAAAGGGATTAAGCTAAAATAGAGAGCAGTCTAC